CCTAAAAAATAAAAATAACTAAAAATATGTCCTTAATAAAATCATTAAAAATTAGTTGGCTCCCGCCAGAAAGAATTAATCAACTCTCGTTTGGTAATGTTACCAGCCATAAATCAATCAATGTTCGCACCCTCAAGCCAGAACCAGGAGGGCTTTTTGATCCCCGGATATTCGGTCCTTTTCTTAATTATGAATGTTATTGCGGTAAATACAAAGGCAAAGAAAATAAAGGACAAAAATGCGAACGATGTGAAGTTTTAATCGCCGAAAAGAACCTCCAAAGATGACGAATGGGACACATTTCTTTGCCCGTTCCGGTAATTAATATTGCTCTTTTTAAAACTCTGGCCGCTAATTTAAGCAAATTGTTAGGTATCCCCACCAAAAAATTAGAGGATATTATTTACCTCCGAGCTTACGTGGTGATTGATAATGGCTTAATTAACTCATTAAAAAAGGGCGATATTTTAGAAAAAAGGATGGATCGACCCCTCATCAGCAACATTTTACAAGAGATTATTCAAGAAAAAAAATTAACTGAAAATATTATTGAGGAGGCCGAGGAGTTAAACGAGAAAATTACTAAAAAGAATGAAAAAAATGATGAAGAAGCAACCGATATTATTTTTTTGGAAGATTATTTGGATTTCCTAGAAAAAAATTGTGGAGTAAAAATTTGAACTGGCACGGAGGCCTTTCGGGAATTATTGGCTGGAATTGACATCAAGGAAGAATTAGTCAAGGTCAAGAATGCCCTCAAAGAAACCCAGCAGAAGGTTAACCAAGAAAAATTAAAATTCCTGCAAGGTTTACAAAAATCCGGCATAAAGTTAGAATGAATGATTATTAATAATTTGCCAGTCATTCCTTGTGGTTTACGACCAGTAACCAAGTTGAAAGAAGAAGATGTCATTGCCACTAATCAACACAACAACTCCTTATACCGAATAATTTTGCGGTGTGAAAGGCTAAAATATTATCTTGACTTAAATAAAAGTTCGGGAATTCTTTTTCGGGACATTATTCATAATGAAAAAAGGGGATTACAAAAAGCCATCGACCAAGTAATCTACGGTTCAACTTATAAAAAAAACGAAATTAAGAGTTTGCTCCAAAGTTTAAGTGGCAAGGAGGGGATACTCCGTCGTTATTCTTTGGGAAAAAGAGTCGACTATTCAGCCCGCTCCGTAATTGTGCCCAATCCCAATCTGCTTCTGGACCAAATTGGATTACCAGTCAAAATGGCTTTGACCCTCTATAAGCCATTTATTATTCAAAAAATACTGAAAGAAAAAATTGCTTTCACAGTCAAGGAGGCTGAACAATTATTTTCCCAAGAAGATTCAATTATTTTCCCACTTCTTAACCAAATTATCCAAGGACACCCGGTCTTGGCCAACCGTGCCCCTAGTTTGCATCGTCTAAGTATCCAAGGATTTTATCCGCAATTGACACTGGGTAATGCAATTGAACTCCATCCTTTAATAACTACGTCCCTGAATGCCGATTTTGATGGGGACCAAATCGCCATCCACTTGCCGATGACTACCAAAACTTGTGATGAAGTTAAGGAACTCATTCTTTCTCCCCACCACATTATTGACCCCAAAAATGGTTATTTGATAGATATTCCCAGCCAAGACATGATTTTGGGTATTTATTACTTGACGAGGGAGAGCAAAAATAAAAAAGTAATTTTTCATAATGAAATAGGAAATATTTGAAAGAGTCATGAAAGCGGCAAGATAGGTCTTCATGACCTGGTTGCTATTCCCGCCACTTTAGTTGGTAAAAATCTTTCTGCGGCCCAAAATCAATTTCTTTTTACTACTCTGGGGAAAATAATCTTTAATCAAATTTTACCCGCTAGTTTTCCTGACTACGTCAATGACTTGAAAAAATATAATGAGGAAAGTAATCAAAATGATGACCTAGTCAAAATAGACCAAATTGCCAAAAAATGAAAAGACCATCAACCATTAGGAGGATGAAAAAAAAAGGATATTATCACTTTTCTGAATAAATTAGCAAAAATAACTCCACGACCAGAAATGGTAGAGTTCCTCGACCAACTAAAAAAGATTAGTTTTGATTATGCCACTCGTTCGGGAATTAGCATTCCGCCCTTTGAGTTAGAAGGAATTATTTCCGACAAAGAAAAAATTCTGACCGAGACTGAAAAAAAGGAGCAAAAAATTGTCAACCATTTTGCCCAAGGTTTTTACAATGAAGAAGAAAGAAAACAAAAAAAAATTACGGTTTGAGAAGAATGTAAGGACAAACTAAAAGAGCAACTAGTAAACAATTTAACCAAGAAAGATAACACTTCTTTTTATCATATTTGAGATTCCGGAGCCCGGGCTAGTGACGAGAGCCTTACCCAAATTTTTGGGATGCGCGGTAATACCACTAATTATTTAGGAGAGGTTATCGAAACACCCATTACTTCTTCCTTATGAGAAGGGTTAACTCCCTTTGAATTCTTTATTTCAGTTTATGGAGCAGTTAAGGGAATGGTTGATATCGCTTTAAAAACCGCCGAAGCAGGCTACTTAACCCGACGTTTGGTAGAATCCACCCAAAACTTGGCGATTATTTCCTCTGATTGCGGAACAAACGTTGGGGTACTCTTTGTGGAAAGTGGCCTACCTCTCAGCAAAAGAATTTACGGCCGTTATTTAGCCCAAGACATTTCCGGCAAAGAAGGGGAAATAATTTTGTCCCGCCATACTCTTTTGTTAGAAAAGGAAGTAAAGATTATTCAAGAAAAAGCAATCACGGAGATTTGAGCTTTTTCCCCGCTAACTTGCCAATTGGTTGAGGGGATTTGCCAGAAGTGCTATGGTTTAGATTTAAGCAAACCAGGCGAGACAATTTCCCTGGGGACAGCAGTCGGAGTAATTGCTGCTCAATCATTAGGAGAGCCAGGAACCCAACTAACTATGCGAACCTTCCATAGTGGAGGAATCGCTGGTGATGAAGATATTACCCAAGGTTTACCAAAAGTTAAACAAATCTTCGACAATATTAAACCCGAAAAAGAGGAAAAAACTATTTTAGCCAAGGCAGATGGAAAAATAATTAGCGTTGAAGAAAAAATAATCAAGCAAAGGAATGATGAAGGAGGAGAAATCGCTTATCCTCTCGGTAAAAAAAAGAAAGCGAGAATTAACCAGGGAGACTTAGTAAAAAAAGGCGAAAGACTTACTGGTGGAAAAGTTGACCTAGAAGAACTCTTAGAAATTATGGGACGAAATAAGTGCCAGGAATACATTAAAGAAGAAGTAAGGAAAGTATACGATAATCAAGGAATAGATGTTAACGAAAAACATATTGAAATATTTGCTCGGCAAATGCTCTCCAAGGTAGAAATAACAAATAGTGGAGACAGTGATTACTTAGTTGGCGACCTAGTGAATTATCAGAAACTAGAAAAAATCAACCAGGAGTTATTAGCCAATAAAAAGCAACCCGCTTCTTTTAAAAATATTATTTCCAGTCTGAAAGATTTAGCATCCCATCCAGATTCATTCTTGGCTGGAATTTCTTTCCAAAACACTTTAAAAAGTTTAGTCAATTATTCTTTATATCAGCCGGTCGATTACTTACGAGGATGTAAAGAAAATTTAATTGCCGGTCAACTAGTGCCAGTCGGATCAGGATTTAAGGAGCGAGAAAAATTTCAAAGAAAAAGTACTCGGGAAGTGTAGCGGAAAAATAGTTTATAATCACTAAAAAGGATATACAATAAGTCACACGAAAACTGAAATATAATGAAAGAAATATGCAACAAAGAGATAATATCTCTAGATAATGCGATGTTAAAAAGGATTTTTTATGTCGATAGTGCTTGTTCTACATTCGGAAAGGACGACAAAAGATATTGAAAATGTTCAGTGGTAGAGAATGGAGAAAGCATTCTTAATTTTGCTAATGGTACTTTAAAACCTACAGAGGTTAATTCGGCCGAGGCTTATACAACTTTAAAAGTCATTTTTTGACTAGAAAAGCAAAAATGGAGTGGCGAAGTTCAAATATTCACCGATAATCAAAATTGCATTTACTGATACGATAAAATAATAATTCAGTCATTGCAATACAATAAAAATAATACTAGTCATGACATTAAGTATTTGAAATATTTAACACTAGTTCGTGATGCTTGCAAAAAAAATAATATCGAGTTGAAACTCGTTTGAATAGAGGGAAATAATAATCCTGCTGATTTTTACAGTCGCGAACAGCCAAAAAAGTGTTCAGAATGCAGAAATTATGTGTGGGATAACTCGGCAGG